AGCAGCACTCCATCATTAAATGGAAGTGGTATATCAGAGATTAGGGTTGAGCAGGACCTGAAAGCACAAGTAAGTTTTATGAGGAAGTGGCCCAAATGCCTAGGGTCTCCACTCCAGTTACATTACCTTCCTTCTCCCAGTCTGCACTTATGACCTATGGGGAGTTCCTTATGATCAGTTGACTGAAGAAGAGAAAACTTGTGCCTGGCTTACAGATAGTTCTGTGCAATATGCAGGCGCCACTCAAAAGTGGACAACAGTGGCACTACAGCCCCTTTCTGGCACTTCCTTGAAGGACAGTGGTGAAGGGAAATCCTCTCAATGGGCAGAACTTTGAGCCACACATCTGGCTGTTCACTTTGCATGGAACAAGAAATGGCCAGACGTAAAATTATATATGGATTCATGGATGGTGGCCAATAGCTTGGCTGGATGGTCTGGGATTTGGAAGGGGCATGATTGGAAAATTTGTGACAAGGATATATGGGGAAGAGGTATGTGGATAGATCTCTCAATGGGCCAAAAGAGTAAAGATATTTGTGTCTCATGTGTATGCCTACCAAAAGGAGACCTTGGTAGAGGAGGACTTTAACAGTCAGGTGGATAGGATGATACGTTCAATGGAAACCATCCATCCTTTTTCCCCAGCTACTCTTGTCATTGCTCAGTGAGCTATGAACAAAGTGGCCATGGTGGCAGGAATGGAGGTTATGCATGGGCTCAGCAACATGGAATTCCACTTACCAAGGCTGATTTGGCTACCACCACTGCTGTGTGCCCAATCTGCCAGCAGCAGAGACCAACACTGAGTCTGCGATATGGAACCATTCATTGGGGTGATCAGCCAGCAACCTGGTGGCAGGTTGATTACATTGGACCACTTCCATCATGGAAAGGACAGCGTTTTGTTCTTACTGGAATAGATACTTACTCTGGATATGGATTTGCCTTCCCTGCATACAATGCTTCTGCCAAAACTACCATCCATGGACTTACAGAATGCCTTATCCACCGTCATGGTATCCCACACAGCATTGCTTCAGATTAAAGGACTCACTCACAACAAATGAAGTGTGGCAATGGGCCTATGCTCGTGGAATTCACTGGTCTTGCCATGTTCCCCATCATCCTGAAGCAGTGGGCTTGATAGAACAAAGGAATGGTTTACTAAAAACACAGTTACAGCACCATCTAGGTGACAATACCTTGAAGGGTTGGGGCAGTGTTCTCCAGGAGGCTGTAAATGGTCTAAACCAGAGTACAAGAGATGGTGCTGTTTCTTCAATAGCCAGGATTCATGGGTCTAGGAGCCAAGGGGTGGAAATGGGAGTGGTACCAGTCACTATTACCCCTAGTGACCCACTCAAAAAATTTTTTGCCTCCTGTCCCTGCTACCCTATGCTCTGCAGGTCAGGAGATCTTAGTCCCAAAGGGAGGATGACTCCCACCTGGAGACAATACTGATTGCGTTGAGCTGGAAATTAAGAATGCCACCTGGCCATTTTGGCTTCCTCATGTCTCTGGATCAACAGACAAATAAGGGCATTACTGTACTATCTGGTGTGATAGATCCTGATTACCAAGGGGAAATTGGATTGACATTACATAATGGAGGTAAAGAAGAATATGTATGGAATACAGGAGATTCTTTAGGAAGTCTCTTAGTACTACCACACCCTATGACTAAAGTCAATGGAAAATTGTTGTTGTTGTTAGGTGCCGTCGAGTCATTTCTGACTCATAGTGATTCCATGCACAGCAGAATGAAACATTGCCCGATCCCACGCCAGCTCCATGATCCTTGCTATACTTGAGCCCAT